GGGGGGGGGGGGGGGGGGGGGGGGGCTGCTGATTAACCGAGCCACATGCTTAGAAGCCTTTGAGGGGGCTGTGTAAATAACACTATTAGCACACAGCACTTAACAAGAATGGGGGGGCATGTATGCATTTTTAAAAACATAAAGTGCAGATTTGGGCACAGAAGGTGAGCCCTTGTTTGCACCCAGGGATGTTTAGACAAACACAGCAGGCCTTTGACAGCAGGGTCACGGTCTGCCCAAGGTCCGCCCAAGTGGCCTCTGTTAACCCGTAACGGCACAGCTGGGTGCCTGTCGGACTGAACTCAGGACTGAGCCCGGGGACAATTCCCCCTAGTAGTCATTTCCTCGGAAAACGTCACGTTGTTCCTTCTGGATCGCTGCCGTTACAACTGAACGCAGAAATGCTTACCGTAGCGTTTCGCAACGTAGACCTTTGCTCAACGATACAGCAGCAGTTTCAGAATCGGGATTAAAACCCAAACCTTCATGGTTGCCAGACAGCAACACAGGAATTCAGCTCAGAGACGAGTCTGGGGGGAGCTGAGTTTGCGGGAGGCCACGGAGAGCAGGCGGATCGCCTGGCCCTGCTCCCCCCCACCCCCCCACCCCCACAGGACAATGAGACTCACCGTGCAGTGGCGACCCTGAGGGGCTGCTGGAGAGGCCGGGCACAGGGCTGCAGCGGCCGCTCTGCTTGCTGCTGAGCTCCTGCTCGATCTCCTCCAGCCCGGCGCTCTTCTGGAAGCGGCTCATGCGGTTGACGACGCGCGGCGACATGTGGGTGCGTGCGCACGGCGGCCCGCCGTAGGGGTTGATGGGGAAGACGTGCGTGGTGCCTCGCAGCGTGCTGATGGCCACCCAGCGGCAGTCGTGGCTGAAGCTGATGTCCTGCACCTGCGGCCGGACAGACGGACGGAAAGACAAGAGTGTGACTCGGAACCCGGTCAAGGTCACCCCAGCTTTACCATTAAGGCGACGAGCCGATGCCGGTCAGCCCGGGTTTGAGCAGACAACAGAAATGCGGGGTCGCGGGGTCACGTACCCCCACCCCCGGCCTAGGTAAAAGAGGCCATGTAGACGGCCCGGCGAGGGGTGCGGACAGTGTTGGTGGGCCGCTGCCTCTGGGAAAGCCATGGCGGCCAGCGACCGAGCCAGATAGCATCTCCACAAACATTCCAGCCATGCTGCAGAGACAAAAGCCTGAGAGGGGCCTTCATTATCATGTCTGCTCCCCTGACAGAGGCCAGAGGAATGGGAGATTGGAGTGGAGGTCTTCGGGGGGGAGGGGGGGGGGAGGCTGTGTCAGCCGTGATACAGGTCACTTCAGTTGTCATGGTATTATACCCCCCCCCCCAACCGAGGAGCCCAAATATGAACCTGTGGCTGTTTCATGTCGGTCCATCTTTGTGATTCGCAGCTTAATTGCCTGGGCAATGACAGTTAATGACAAATCCCCCCCCCCACCCCCCCGCATACCACTGGGGTTTCCTTACTCGGCTGGAGGACGGTGCTGATTAAAGTACAGCTCGGCGGCAGCAGTGGGGGGGGGGGGGGGCACCAGAAATAGGGGGGGGGTGAGGTACTTTGTGAAATTTAGGACCATCTGATGCCCATGAATCATAAGCTGGGTGTTTCAACGCCCCCCCCTGTATCAAAGCGCTCAGTTTTGGGAAAGGTCCCGACTACGTCGATTTTCACAAGTTTAATCGGATGTTTTTCCCCCTCTATAGGACTCTTCCCCCCCCTTGTTTTTTTGTGACATGTGATCAAGCTGAAAATGCAGAGCAGATACAAGCTGGGAGATAAAATGGCAGGGAAAGGTGACGTCACTGCCGCGATATGTTCAAAGAGTCTCCGTCGTTATCAGCCTCCCAGACGGGGGATGAGCTCTGATGTTTTAACGGGGACTTCAATGGTTTTGCAGGAACCCCTTGAAGAGTTTTTAAAAAGGGAGAAATGGGGAGGGGGAGGCGACATGACCCCTCTGGTCAGTGCACTGTGGTTCAAAACACGTGGAACCGCACAGACCCACAGGCCACTGCTGTTATCACCGCCGTTTATTTACCGGCACAAACTAAGGTCACACATTAGAGTGGTTCTGTGAGTCAGAACAAGCGCAGTCACAGTCAGCCAGTCGCAGTCAGCCAGCCGGCGAGATAAGCCGGCTGCCTGCGTCCCCTAGCCGGCGCTATCACCCGCGCCGTTTGTTCGTTTGTTCTGCCGGAGATAAAGCGCCTTTCAGGGAGCTGTCTGCACGGCGGCCGCGGCTGTTTACGGCGGGAGATCAAAGACGGCGCACGGCCGAGCGGCAAACCAGTCGTTAGCCAGTAACAAATTAACTGGTTCTCCTCAGGGCTGGAGATCAGTGTGGCCGGCTCTGCTGGTCTGAAGGTGTGTATGTGTGTTGGGGGGGGGGGGGGGGGGGGGGGGGGGGGGGGCGTGCCTTGACCTGGCATTAACGCACCTCATGAATGGCGAGACGCTGATGGTCTCAGAGACATATTCAGTGTCATCAGAGGTGCAGGAGACCTCAAGCAGCCTAAATCAGTACAAACAAGCTTAATTAAACTAGACCCTAAATAATAAAATAAAGGTCACACTCATTCAAATATACACATATTGAGTGTATTCAGCTAGAATCTGATGCTTTGATTAACAAATCTGGAGAGAATGAGGCTATTTCGAGGCAGTGGGGGGCGGGGGGGGGGGCGTAGCCTGGTGAGAATCGGCGAGGTTGCATGACCAGCGACGTGTTAGAAATGACAGGCACATCAAGGCTGCTTTAATTAATGTTGCCACCATAAAACCGCATGTTCTGGAATGTTCCAATTAATCAAGCGCCTTGCGACGCAACTGATCTGTTCCAGATCTGAACGCTCCAACCTCCAGTCTACATGAAGCTCATTAGAGTGATTAAAATACCCCCCAAACACGCCTGACCTCTGAGAGACAGGTGAATGCACTCTGCATGACTCTCTGATGGGAAACAGTTAAGTTTTGCTTTAAGAAACCAAATTGATTTTTTTTTATTTTTTACATGCATTTTTACTATCAATTCCTGTGGATTTCACAAATATACATGTCTCAGCTGAAAAAAACAAATAATTAAATACAATCATTCAACAACAGAAATAAAATAAAAAAGTGCAGTTTCAAGCACAGAAGTGGAAAGAAACAAGCTAGCATCATTTCTTAATTTTTATAACACAAAGCATATAAATTACATTTTAAAATCCAGCACATGGAATATTGAAAAATATATTTTATTGATTTTTAAATTACATATAAAACAGAAAAGAACCTCTTTCTAATTTAGTGTCAAAAGCATTTGTTAAAAAGAAGGTTAATATATAATATTTAGAAAATTAATATGATAATAAAAATGATATAAAATGAATGGCCTAAAATATGTGAATGATCAAGGTGAGAGAGAGATGGCAGATTCCAGCCTTCAGCGCACTGCGTTATAAAGACGAATGTCTGAGAGCATGGGGCGGTCCATGCCCCCCCCCCCCACCCTGACAGCAAACCCCCAGGGTCATGAGAATCACCGTTTTTGGTGGTGGTGGGGGGGGACGCTTCATCGGGGCCTGTGCTGATTGATAAGAGGACGACGGCAGGGTTTCACACGACCCCTTGAAGCCGGAGTTTGGGCATTAACGTGGGGAGCCCCAATTCTGGGGCCCCATTCTGGATCATATGCGTAAGGCCCAGTATGACAAACCCACACCATACATACGGACCTTCCCTAATCTCTGTGTTTTAATTTGGAAACGTGGAGTTGCTTTCCTGAAAGTCAGCATGACGACAGAACGCCCGCGGCCCCTGATGGACCGACACAGAGATCGCAAGAAACCACCAGCTAACCACTGGCGGAGCGCTGCTTGCACTGCGATCCGGACTCCCGTCCAGAGCAGACCAAAGAATGCACAGAACGCTAATGTTATTTTTTCCCCCGGGATAAACAAGTTGTCCGATCGCCGTGCGGCTTTTGGAAATTCCCTTTATTGAGTCAGGCTGGGAGGAGATGGTAGCATGCAGCGTTTCGGAGCGCGACTGAAAGCGTGCTCTGCTCGGCACTGGCAAGCACAAGAAAATGAAAAATTCAAAAACAAAAAATAAGTGAAAAGGGAAAACAACACAGAACAAACAATGAAATCACCGAGTGAGATCCAATTTTGCATGTCACAAAATCGAAATTTGTATTACAAAACATAAAACGACATTTAAATTCCTTACATATAGTTATCTGCTTCTGGGCTGGCTGTGAGTTTGTCTTCCAACACACCACCCCCCCATGATAGTTTTACAACTTTTTTTTTTTTGTTGTTTTTTTCCCAAGAAGCAGTTTGAACTAGAGCAGGGGCGCCACAAAACCAAACACACAAGGTATGATGCAACTGCACCGGAGAATGCTGGAATTCTGCTGTACTGGGAGGGCGCGACTTCATCTTTTTACTGGGATACCATGAGCAATTATACAAATAAGAGCAAAAAAACCTATTAGGACTCATTGCAGTACCAGTCAAAACATAGTACGCTTAGCAGAACCTGTACTATTCAATAACCTTTATCTGCTGCCATGTTATTGCACACAAACGTAACGTCGCATCCAGCTTGGCCTCTTCTGACAGTGAGAGGATGTAAAAATCAATACACCCTGCACTTTAGGCTACAGCTGGCTTCCACAGGTACGGAAGACCTTAACTGACAAAAAAAAAAAAAAGATATATTTTTAAAAGCTCCTTCAAAGTAAAAAGTTAAAAAGGAAGGATTTCGAATCTGTTTAAGGAGGCCATTCATAAAACCCAGTACAAATTACAGTGCGGTTTTAGCCCTTGTGCTGGATTAGATTTGTATCAAGAAAAAAAGAGGGAAAAAAACTTAGCAACACAATTCAAGCTTTCCAAGACTTTTCCCTCACTCCCTGTCTCTGGCGTGAAATCAGGGCCCGCTATGGTTACAGTCCTGTGACTTGCCAAGGAAATGTGAGAAAACAGCACCACACAGAGGACGGCTAAGGTACTTCACATTGTCCCTTTGTATTTTCTTTTTTTTTTTTTTTTGGCTTTTGTAGCATGGAACACAATATTCTTAGTCCAGGGGCATAAATCCCACTTCCCTGTGAAAGCATAACTGGGGCAAGAGGCCGGGAGTCTTTCTGAAATAACATTACAGAAAAACACCGTCCCCCTTTTTACGCATTAGTCCAGGACATAATGATCCTCCATCGGGCTGCATTCAGGTATTACAGGGCCAGCGAGGACAAGCAGACATGGACTGAGGGGGAGAAAAATAAATAAAAAGGGGAGAAACATTCATTTCAAGGAAATAAAGCGAAGGGTCCCCCCCCCGCCTGTTCTGACTCACTCAGCACAAGAACTAAACACTCGACATCAGGCACAGGAACCTCGAATCTCACCGCGCAGCTTATCAGCAGGATATCTCGGTGGCATTCCTGCTTTTACGACAGAAAGTTTATCACAAAAAAAATAATATGGATATTTGATTACCAAAAATATATTTTGCCTCCTAAAATCTGTATGCAGCTTTTCGCTCGTATTAGAAATGATGATCAATCAACGTAAGGCGCCAGAACATTTCCAGCGATTCCAGGGTGAACCCAGTGCGGCTAGAACATCACAGGCAACACTGCGGCCCTTCAGGTAGGGAAAAACCACTTGACACAGAAACCAGCCCGGCCCGGCTAAACCTTACTGTACCCAGAGAGCCAAACGCGCATGTTGACTTAGTGGCACAGAGGAAATGTCGGTTTATCAACGGGGAATCGGCAGCTCCCCGGCCAACTCCTGTTTCGATTTACCGGAGGCTGGGGTGTCGTACAGCAACAGCAGGACTGAAGAAACCAGTGAGTGCCGTCCAGTGCTACTGTT